TCTTAATAAGTGCGTGTTGGTGTTGACAAGAAAATGTAGGTTTTGTTCGTTGCCTTCCCTGGATTTGAGCTGGATGAATGAAGAAGTAGTAAACACTCCCCTCCACCCACCCCCCTTCAGCACCCCCTCAAAAATGGTGAGATTCCGGTAAGATGAGAAGAGGATTTTTATCCGGCTTGTCTGAAACTGGTTTTGTTGACACCCGTTTCATTACATAAGTCTGCTTAAAAAGCTTTTTATTATACTTTCAAAACTTGCCCTTTCAAATCTCTGAATTATTCAGGAAAATTTTTAGCAGCAAGGTAAAGCAGTGCTTGTGATTCAGGGTATTTTTTTAAAAAATTACTGTGCCTTTGTTTTTTATATGTAAATTAATAGACAAATGTAAAAGTCCATCAGATGTTTGTGCATTGTACTTCCTTTCTGAGATTGCAAAGGAGACATGGCCTGTAAACCACTCCTGACTAATCCTCCAAGCTCTTTACCATTCAGAGAGTGTGAAAGAAAAGGTTATAAAATGTAATTGTTCATAGTTATGGGGACAAAAAAAGCCCCAACAAAGAACCCAACCCCCCAAAAAACATTCCTGGCAACTTTCTTAACAAGGTTCGTGTTAGCTCTGTTGTCCTGGCTAGATTCCAGCTTTATTAGATTATAAATTCTATTTTAATCCACTTGGTCTTCAGTTGGAGATCTATTTTTGCCTTTCTTTTGTTAAATAATAATAATTGTTTGCAGGGCATGGTTGCATATTTCTAGCCGACAAAATGATTTTCTTGGATAAAAACTATATATTTGCATATTTCTGGTTTCAATCATACTCCAGAACTTCAGAAGTAAATTATGTGCTTGACTTGCCAGGATCTGTTTGGTGTTCCTAAACACAGCAGATACACCAGATGAATTAATAGAAATCTGTTAGCTTTTCTACCCTCTTAAATTCCAGATTTCCAATGTCTCTTCCTTAGAAATCTGAAGCCCTTAGCAATAGGGGAGTTTGGGTAGTCAGAGATGAGCTTGGAAGCCTACTATTTAATAGTAAAGCTGCTAAATTAACGCTGTTTAATGTGTTTTGTTGAAATTTTCATGCATGGTTTGTAGGGTAAGTAGATCTAGAAATAATAGATACGGATATAAAAAGATTGCTTGAAAACATATGGGAGAAGATTAGAGAAAACCACAAAGAAAAAATGTGTTTCGCCTCCCTTCTAGAGGATGCTTTTGGGTTTGTATGCTGCAGATCCCCCATCCTCCTGGGCCAGCCCTGCACCAAGGTCCTCCTCCCCGCCTGCCTCTTCCGTGTCTCCCGTGTCCCGTCCCCCCCTCCCCGGGACAAACCCCCTCACAGTTTTGCTTTGCAAGAGCACGTTGGGCAGCAAAATAAACAAGCAGTTGGTTTACAAGTATGGTAAGCAGAGTCTTCAGGAACGGCAAACGCCATTCCGGCACGGGGAGCCGGGTTCCCTGCAGCACGGGCAGGCAGGAGGTTGTCCCGCTGTGTCGGTGTTAGAGTGGCAATTGCGGGATCTTTCTGGAAAGCTAGAAAATGGAAGTAATGCTTTTCACCACCACAGCCCTTGTAAAACACATCTTCCCTGTTGTTCCTGGCCTCTCTTACAAGTCGGTTTGCGTCTGGGTTAACGGATTGCGTTTGTTTTTTGCGAAGTTTGTTCTTGCAATTTCTTAATATTGTGCTGAATATAAAGAGTCAAGTTCTGCCTTTATAATGTGCTGGAATGTGCCTGTTCCTAACGCTTAGGCTTGCTTACGGTGGCACGCACGGAACTGGGCACTTGGTGTTTAAATTTGCTCTTTTTCCAGTTGGTGGTTGCACGTCCAAGGGGCAGAGCTGTACCCTGACACAAGTTCCAGAGTCTGTCTGCAGCTCTCTTCGTTTAGAGTAACGTAGCTTCTTGTCTGTCTTCCTCTACTGCCCAAGCTGTCAAGAGTTTTGAAATCTTTTGATTGGCTTTTGGATCATCTTTGCCTAATTAACGAGTTGTTTCTTCCTTCTTTGCAACTTGGCCATGCTCCCGTGGTAATCACAACGATTGCTTGTACACAAAAGCAATGTATTGAAAACACGGCATGTGTATATTAACGCTGCTTCACAGCTAAGAAAAGATCCAAGCAGCACGTGATGAAGTACATCTCCGATCGCTGGGGACCATTGATCTATCAGCTCATAGATTTTTGCTTACAGTTATTAAGCCGAGTGCGTATGAAGTTAATAGCCAGCATAGGAAGAAATGTTGGGGGCCTTTTTGTTCTTCGTCTAAACCAACAGTGTTAAAACCAGCCAACCAGCCTCCCCTCAACCCCAGAGCCTTCCTCCTTGCCTTTTTTATTTTGGCTGGATTCTCCTTAAGAGTAAATTCATTTACTGTAATGTACACACCGCAGTTATTTGTAGCGCTCAGATTTGAACAGTCACGGGTTTGAAGTGGCTATTTCCGTTGCAAAAATTTTTGATTCAGGCAGAGGCTATTTACTGTCTAAGACTATAGCTCGTGAAGAAAACTGGAATTCTGAAAGCTCCCATGTCGGCACTGAAGAATGCATTTTTTTTTCATTTTCTGCCATTTTCATAGAATAGACTCGCACAATTGTTTAGGTTGGGAAAGCCCTTTAAGATCCTGCAGCCCAACCGTTCCCCTAACCCTGCCATCCCACCGCTAAACCCTGGCCCTAATGTATAATGCTTTAATCTGGCCAGTGAGCATGATGAAACTGAGTATGGAAGTTAGAAACTCACTTTTCAAGATGACATGTCACTGTTTCACAAAAAGAAGACTTGCATTAATACCAACCAGTGACGAACAGAGGAAAAAGGATTGAATTTGGGGGCCGTTGCTGTTTTGCTAACAGTTATTTTGCTTCTCCCTTCTTTCGCTTGCAAAAATCCCTGTTACCTGCTTGATTCTTACATTTAAATTGGGGATGCTGCAAAACCAAAACAAGCAACAAGATGAGAGCTGAAAGGGATTGCTTGGGAAATTTGGGGTTAGCCTTTTTCTTTTGATAATTGCCATTTAACTTCTTTGGATAATTAAGTTTTAAATGAAGGTAGCCTTAGCTAAACATTCAGCAGCCTTGTTCTTCAATTAAAGGTATTGGAGTTCACAACAAATGAAAGACAAAAAAACCCAAACCAAAGACCTTCTAGAACGTCTCCGATAAAGCCAGAGCTGACAATTTCTAGGGTAAAGCAAATCATACGTGGGAAGGAAATAAAACCAACAGATGAAGACCACCTTTAAGCATGTACAAATACGAAGGAATAAGTTGAATTCATTCAGTTCTCTGGTCTGCAGTGCATTATTTCACTTTTCTAGTTCATCTTTTGTTGATTACAGAATATAATTCTGGCCTTTCAATTTATAACTAAAATAGGTATAGAATTGCATCGAAACCAAATATTATACCAGATTTTCATTGTTAATTGTATACATTGTGTTGCTATTTCCTGCAAATTCTTACATCATGATAACATGAGTGGCTGTCTCTTACGCCCTGCGTGTTTCTCATTTGAAGAAATGTAACTGAAAAAGTATTAAAGTAAAAATAGATGTTGGATACTGTAGGCGTGAGTGTCCAACTAAACAGTAACCCGAGGCTGCGTGCTGCACCTTAGCCCAGATGGTGCTTTTGGATGTTACAGTAGAACTCATTATTGGGGAAAAAAAGGAAATCTATGCATATAAAAATAGAAAAAGTTCTTTATATATCTTAATGCTTTTAAAAAGATTTACTATTGCTAATATTTTCATAACAGTTGCTGCTCGGTATATATCACCTATTCTTGCCGATCTAACTTTGGAGCAAGTGATAATGAACTGCATGTGGTTGTGCATATAATGTAATAAAATGAACGGGTCTTGTAGCATTGTCATACGAGGAAGATATAAATGTAATTTTGCGAGATTGCTGCTGTTAATATTTATACTAAGTCAAGGTCTATTCTATTGTTGGCTCCAACCTACCACATGCTGTTTTTAACAAAATATCTGAAGTATCGCCCCGAAGTACTCACTCATCTGTCACTCAGGGATGAGTCAGGAAGTGTATTATAGTAAAACAAAAAATGATAAATTTATCGAGTGTTTAATACACTGTATAGCTATTCATAACCTTATATAATTATTAAGAATAATGACATTGAATGGCATGCTTCCTACAACTTTCACTTCCGTACATGTGTTGATGAACGTGTTGAACAGTTCTCTGGGGAGATGTTTTCTTTTTTGGTCTTTTAAGCTGTTTTGGCACATTTTGTTGTGTATACGGTTCTGTACTGCAGTGGTGCCTGTAGCCCTGGTGAAGGGGTGTGTTTTAGGTATAAGCACTGTTTTGGAGATGGTTAAGATGACTTTGATTTTCAGCAGGTGCATTAATTCTGAAGTACTGTTTGTTTTGTTACGGAGCACTATGGCACAGAGTTGAAGGACTTCAGAACCAGATTTCATACTTGCACGTAGCATGAGTCGTTTGCGTATTATATATTTGGTGCATTTAACTCCATACAATATCTTACTGAAACGTGAGCAGTTGCATGCGTTGTACTTCTCAGTCACTGCGTATACGTTTACAGGCTAATGCGTGATCTTGTGCATTAAAGGACATAAAAAAGTGATGGATGAGAGTTCCTGAGCATTTTTTTTTTATTTAATATCAAAGAACATTTAGTGTTAAGTTACCATGACCGACAGAAAGTCCTAAGCTGATTTGTCTCAGCTTTGCTGTTGTCTGTATCACTTTTTTTAATGTATTCTTTATATGCATATAAAGTTTCTTTATTGTATTGTAATTTACAGGAGGGTTTAAATGGCTACTTTCTTGTTGGCTCTAAAAGTGTTTACAGAAACAGACGTGTGTCATACTATTGGGTTTGCTATAAAAATGTGTGTGTATATGTGTAGAGACTTCAACAAAAGGAGATCGTTCTGTTAATTATTCTGTATTTGCTGTTTTTAAAGTGATGATCTCTTGTTTTCTTCTAGCATCAGATAATAGTCAGCGATTTCGAGAAACCTGCTTTGCATTTGCACTGACGCCACAACAAGTGCAGCAAATCAGCAGTTCAATGTGAGTGAGTTTGATCAGTAATACAATATTTAAATGAAAATAAATTAAAAAAAACTAGCGTTCCATAGCTTTAATTTTGAAATGTGTTCTCGAACACAGGTGTGTGTGTGTGTAGTGCTTCTGAGAACACTCTTCTGGGGAATTCTTTTCTCCTTTGTATGTAAGCTGATGGAGAGGAAAAGGGTGAGGAAGAGAGAATTAAGTATCACCGCTGTCCGGGGAGTATTGGGCAGGTTTCTCTTTTACTACGTGCTCTACGAATACATCACTCTCCTTCCTGCAGCCCTTTCTCGCCATCAGTCAGATCCTTTGTCAAGTTCCATGTTTGTTCACTATAAAGATGGACTTCATAGTGACCCATAAGAATTTTCTTTATAGTATAGGGAAAAAAAAAGGAAATAGTAGAGGTCAGATGAGAATCTAATTGATTTATTTACCTTGAAAAATAAAAAGCATACCTTTTTGTGTGTCTCATTGAGAGTGGTGGTTTGGCTGACCAGAAGGAAGGTGTGGTATACGCTATATTTACCAGAAAGTGTGATTTACATATGCTGAACTTACAGCAAATGTTGAGAAAATATTGGTGAACCTGTTGTATAAACAGTATGTTTTAACCTGTGTTCTCTTGTTTCTAGGGATATTTCTGGGACCAAATGTGACTTCACGGTACAGGTCCAGCTAAGGTATGTATTTGTATTGCCTGTTCTCGATGCTGCTGTGTGTTAAAATATATCAGATGTATGCTCCCCAGCAGGTCGGGCTTTTGTTCACGGGGAAGAGTTGTTTCCTTGAGAGAAGCTTGCTGTCGGCTGCTTTGAAAAGGGCAGACTTACCTCCTTGTCCTTGTTACGTGCAGCTTTCCTGAAGTTGCTGGTGGCCTGCTACCTGGCGTGTCAGAATACTGCATGTATTTAGCTATGGCCAGCTGATTTTCTTTGGTTTGTTATTTTAGATTGTATGTATGCTCCTTTCTTTAACTCCACATCTGTCAGATCCCAGGTACCTGGGCCTTCAAAATCTACATGCAGGGAGGGTTATTCTTCCTAGCAGAGATGTCAAACACAGTATTTGCTGGGCATGGCAACCCAAGGTCTACTTTTCTTTAGGCAATGGGAGGCAAGACTTTGGGAATCACCAGATGGGGTCTTAACCTGTTTGCATTGTAGAGGTTTTGACAAATGTAAGTCAATTAAATCCTATGTATCCCTGTAATTCTGCAGAGGGCTGTGAGCAGAGCTAACTTCAGAGCTTGCTCCTGCCAAAAAGGACTGTCTTGCCTTTCATCCCCCTGGTCATGTCTGCATGGTGAGCTGTTAGCTCGCCAGACAGTGATTGCTTTTAGATCTTGCTTGTTAGGCTGCTTGCTGCTTATCAGCAAGTCCGGTTGGCTTGGTGTCGGGCCAGACGGACAAAGGGGCGAGGAGAGCATGGGGGGAAAATGGGGACAGAAGGTAGCTCCCCCTTTCTGAGAGCAGTGGCCTGTTAGGCTCAGCTGCGTTGAACAGCTCTACCCTGACCTGATGGTACATTTGTGTAGATGGGGTAGGTCCCCTGGAAGAAATCCGGTGGAGTTGAGAGGCTCTTCTTGGTCCTTTGAATGCCTATTGTCCGCTATCTTGGCCTACACACATTTTGTAAGACAAGGAAGGGTGTGTCTTTCTTTGGTTCCAGCAGCAAACAAGCCTGTCTGAACTTAAGTAAGTAAATAAAACTGTCTGCACTTAAGAGGTTTGACATAGGCATGAGGCTAGCATTTGATGCTGTGGCTAAACAGCTGGCTGGTTTATTGAAGTTGGAGGAGGAACAGTTGAAGAGATTGTGTATTTTGTGGGTCTTGTATCAAGAGGTCGGGCTAGAGAAATGGTAGGAAAGAAATGCGCGTGATCTATCTTTTGTAACAGGAACCTGCATGTCTGAATGAGTCAGAGTCAGTCTGAGGAATTCAAGAAATCTGAGGAGGAACCTACAGCCATCTTGATCCAAACCTGTAATTTTGGGGGGCTTTCCTGCTTAAGGATCTGTACAGCTAATTTGAGGACTCTTTTTTTCAGCAAGATTTGTTATGCTTTCATAACTTAGTGGAAAAAAAGTTCCTTCTAGGAAGAGGTTATCTTAAAATCACTTTAGAAGTGAAAGATGATGGAAGCTCTTTGCTTTCAGGTTTTGTTTATCAGAAACCAGTTGTCCACAAGAAGATCACTTCCCACCCAATCTGTGTGTGAAAGTAAATGGGAAACCATGCAGCCTTCCAGTAAGTAAGATGTTATTTTGATATACCTAATTGGATAGCGTTATTAGGAGCTGTCTGTCAGAAGTTAGCCTGAGAATTTATCCTAACCTCTGTTTCCACGTTTTGGAGCATTTGAGTGAAGATGGATAGATGAATGGAAAAGATAGTTAAGTAAATCGTTCCTCGGGAGACCAGACAGTAGATCCAGAAGATCAATTTTCAAAAAAAGGTGACACTAAATTTCTATGTTTGACAAACATCCAGTGAGTCTGGCTGAAGTTGGACTCTGTTTTGGAGGTCGTCTGTGCAGGGAATAGACCATCACTGACCAACAGGACTAAAGAGAAAAACACCAACTTGCAGTGCCGGGGCAGCGCTCAGGATTAGGCTGGGCAACGTTAGCCAGGCAGGGTGAATAGCAGTACTGAGAAAGGAGAGGTGGCAAAGGTGCCTTTTAATAGTCTGGTGGGCAGGGTTAGGATTTGGAAAGTGCAATCCTCTGTCTAAGGAGAAAGTGCTTGTAAAAGCCCTGATAACCTGGTTCAGGTGAGACACAGCTTTTACTGGGGCAGGGTTGTGGTGGGAGGGGAAGAAGGCAAAAGCAATATTTATTTTTTTTGTTTGCTGAGGGAAGAAATACTTTGATTTCTAGGGCTATCTTCCACCAACCAAAAACGGTGTTGAACCAAAGCGACCTAGCCGACCAATCAACATTACCTCACTCGTCAGATTATCTACGACGGTACCAAACACAATTGTTGTTTCATGGACTGCAGAAATTGGAAGAGTAAGTAACTTTGGTACATAATGCTGTCTAAAGCTTATTAGTTTCTGCTTTGGCATCTGTTTGAAAGATAAGCAAGTTTAATTGTGCAGAAAATACTTCATGGTTTAGCAGTAGACTGTTCCTTCTTTTGATTGTATTACTTTAAGCTGGGCAGATACGACATGCTCCCTTAGATCAGCACCCCTCAAATTTTTTGGTGCGACCTCTCCCTCTTCACCCCCCAGCCACCTATCTTTGTGACCCATTGAGGGCCCAGACAATAAGATCAAGACATCTTCTACTACTTTTTGTGTGTGTGTTTGTCTTAACTTCAGACTTCAAGCTCTTCCTGATTTTGGGGACTTGACAAACCTTACCGTGGCTTCAACTTGTAACTAGCATGAGACATCAGCACAGAGTGATCTTCTCTAACTGTGTAAATGTGGACACAAGGCATAGCAACTCAGCAGGGCCCAGGAGATTTAATTTGCCCTTTTTACATTGCTGTTCTCACAACTGCTATCCTTACACTTAATATTTAAAAAGCCACGGGTTTATGATTTTTTTTTTTGTCTGTGGGGAGAATATTACAATTGGAATTATAAAATTGCTGATGTTCCACTGGACTAATTAAATCTGGAACATGCTGCAAAAAGTTACTTCAGTAAATTGGTCCGTGAATTAGTGCACTGCTTTCACCGAGGCCAGAAAAACCTGCTAGATGTGCATTAGAGAGTCAACATGTACTTGAAAACTGATGGCTTTGCCATTGCAACCGTCCTGGTTTTAGAAGTCCCGAGAATTAGCCTGAGATGAAACCTTGTCCAAAAACTTGTCAGTGCGCAAAGCCCAGGATTCCTGAACCAGCGTGGAAAAATGCTTACAGCCCAATCATGCACAATAGCCGGTTATAAAACATCACAATGGTATTTCGTGATGGATTTCTTGTGGAGCGTAAACCAGTCTCCGTTGAGATTTAGAATAAATGATGGCTGAATGATTTTTTTTTTTTTTTTTTTTTTTTTTTTTTTTAAAAACCTCCTTTTATCTAATGAGAACTTCAGGTATCAGAAAGCAGCAGTTAAAAATGAGCCTGTTTTGGTTTACATTGCAGAAGTGCCTGCAACTGCAAGTTGATGAATCCTGCTTATTGCTCTGAATACCGTGCTGCACTCTTGCTTAAGAATACCAGTGAGGATTTAGGGAACTCAGGAGAAATGTCCCAAGTCTGCGCGGACTCAAAGCTAGGCTCTTGTGAACTAGCTCGTTTCTCAGGCTTCATAGGTGTTTCAGTTATAAAAACCATATTGGCTAACTTGCAGCTTACGACAGAAAACTGAAGAGAGTGGCTAATTCTTGGTGTGTTTCATGAGAATTAGGTGCCAGTCAGAACTGCCCCGCTCATGAGATGTAATGCTTCCTAATTTGAGACCTTGACAGTTAAATGTGAGGAATTCTCTTATATTTGAATGTGCCTGTATAGTACAAAATTTGAATTCCCCTCCTCCCCTTCCCTTAAGAGTCAGATGCATGTCTCAACTGGTGTACTCTACCTTTCCCGGAGTCATAATTGTGATTTTTACACAATCTGTTTCAAGAGCCTTCTGTACAAGATGCCTTGGGCAAGTTCCTAGCTTTGTAGATTCAAGCTGTCGGTAAATAATTTCACAATGTTAATTACCATTTTTCTAACTTCTATACTAATTGAGGCATTAAACAAACAAGTTAAAGCAGTAGTGGTTTTTAACGATGTGAGAAGCATTCATTGTAAGAATAAAATATTTAAAATGTGGTGTTTCTGATGCCATTTCAATTTGTGCAATTTTATGGTAAGATATATTACTGAAATCCCATCTTTGGATTCTGGTGGCATCCTAAATAATGGTAGCTGTCACAACTGTATGGATTTTTGTTTTGTTTTGTTTGTGGAAACGTACATGGCAGTTGCTGGGGGAAGACTTTAATTTTTCAGTATAAAGTGTATGAGTGCAGCTACAGGTTTAGTGAATACTGTTTATATCAAAAAGCAATTGATGTACCTTAATGTGAGAACACAAATTTTGTCCTTTCCATTCTGGGGGTGAGGGGGAGCGAGGGGTGTTGCTGATGAATGCATAGTACGATACCAAGTTTTTAGAAAGACAGATATTACCTGCTGTTGTTAGTAGCTTGCAAGAAAAATGAGAGCTTCAGAAATCTCCGGCTGTGGTTTGAAATCCCTCAGCGATGCCAGGAGGAGCCGCTCCTCCTGCCACTCCTGCTCCGTCCCTCTAGGGAAGGCTTACCCCGGGAGCTGGCAGAGTTGATGCATCTGACCTGCTGGTATGCCAAATTCTTCTCTGTGGTGGCAGAAATGAACATCCCGGGCTTTTTGCTGACACCAATAAGGAATGTTTGCATGGTCTGTTCTGTTGAGACCAACAGGGAGAAGTGACCTAAACCTCTTCCAGAGGGGAAGGACGGAGAAGTGGGAGCGGCGACTTCTTCCCCGCTCCGACTAGATTCACTAGCGTACGTCTTGGCCCCATCTACCTCTTGAACTCTCTAACTGCCTTACTTCTGTGAAGCTTTGGCAGTGGAGTAGCGTTAGCATTTCACGGACAGTAAGTACAGGCCGATAAGAAAAAGAAAGTTGAACAGTGCTCCCAGGCTGAGTAGGAAATGGTGCAGATGGTGCAGCTTTTTCTATATCGCTTTTGCAGAGGCATCGCTGGTTATTTTCCTGTTTTGAAAATGAAATAAGCTTTTACTAAAAAAAAAAAAAAAAAAAAAAAAAAAAAAAGTTTTGATTATATTTGACCTGACAGAATTTCCTTGAATGTATTGACACAACTGCCAGTGCCTGACATTATTGATGTAAAATTACCCTTCTTAAATGGGCTGCAGACTGCCTGTCCCGAGTTAGATGCAAACTTCCGGAGGTGTCCTAGATGCTGTTTTAATAGCTCGGTTTGCAGCGGACTCTGATCTCAGTGAAGCGTGAAGTCACTTTTGTTGCATCTCTCAAACTCCAGCCCTGTGAACTTTCTGAAGCGCGATGGGTTTTCCCTAGTCTGAAAACGTTGCCATACAAAGTCTTGTAACTGCTTTAGAAATGCAGTGCCCTGTAATCACAGAACAAATTGCATAAGCAGTGTACAAAATACAAGCTATCTTTTGACTGAAGCAGTTTTTACTTTGATCTTTTGTTCTGTTTTCTAGAACTATTCCATGGCAGTCTATCTCGTAAAGCAGCTGTCCTCTACGGTGTTACTGCAGAGGTTGCGAGCAAAAGGAATCCGGAACCCTGATCATTCTAGAGCACTAAGTACGTCTGATGTCCTACTTGTTTAAAAAGGAAAAATAGCTTTTGTAAAAGGAGATTTGAAACAGGACTGTACTAACTGAGGTTTGGACTTCCTACAATTCTCTGGGTTTTGAGAATCTGATAGTGGTGTTCTTTATATTCAGTTCCAATTCAAAGACTCAGAGGCCTTTGTTTGTACTAGGAGCCAGTCCAGGAACCCTGTTGACACTGCAAAGGGAAAAATGCAAGAGAATCTCTTTCGGTTCAGCCATACTGGCTTTGTTCCTTCAGAACAGGACAACTGTATTTATACAGTTAACTGGTAATTCAGTACCTCAGGCAAGCTGAACTAAATGCCTGATACTGAACCTTGATGCTGATATGCTGGAGGAAAGTCTCTGTCAAGACAGTTTTTGTTCCTTTGGCACGGTGTTGTGGAGTGAGCTCCTGGAGAGAGAGTGTCTAGCACAATGCTCCTCCCCACCCCTTTCCAAATTTAAATGTGAGGTTTGCTGCTTTTTTGTTTTCTCTGACAAGTACATGTTGGTATCAGTTTGTATAACAAAAATGCAAGCAAAAACTGCTGCATGCCATTTTTATTTTTTTTAGGGAGAGGGTGAAAATACCAACACCTGACAGCTGTTGGTCATACTCCTTAATGCTCAGCTAATGTGTGTTGTACGCAGCACCTTCTCCCAAGGGAAGAAATTAGTCCACCAGTAAATGCTACAAAGCCAGCGGGTATCTAGTGCGGGCGTTAGCTCGCGCTGGTGCAGTGTGATGATTTGAATCCACAAAAATCTGGAGGGTTTCCAGGTGGCTGCTGCTCTTTGTATGTAAGGTGAGAAGGAGGGTGTAGGTCCAGTTCACAGAGCAGGAAGAACATGGAACAGAGTTGTTCATTTAACCGACGACTGCTTATAAAACAGTCCTTGTAAGTAAAAGTAGAGGATGGGTAGAGATGAAAGACTGCTAATATTTCACTGCAGTTATTTAAACCCCAGATTTTGTCAGGGTACTTCTGATTTCCTATTTCTTAATTTGCTTTTCAATTTTAAATCACAGGATGGCTTGATGAGTATTTCAGAGGTTTACAGTTGTCCGTGTGAGTTAGGAACACATTTGGTTGGGTTTTTTTAATGCGCTTGAAGTTACCAATCAAGTCAGTGTGGCTCATCCTGTCAGTAGATTTTAAATAACTTTCAAGTACAAAGCTGCATGTATATGAAAAGAGACATCTCTGTATAAATACATTTTCTAGGGATCTTGGTTGAAGATGAGCTTTTCCTGCTTTTCGCTTGCTGAAATCATGCCGTTTATGATCTTTCTAGAGAGTAAAGGCTGCTTACGTTACACCTCTATTGTGTGGGTCTGAAACAATAGTCCCTGCTGCTTGCTTCCAGTAGATCTGGCGAACTGGAGGTTTAGCACACACTTTCAGACTTGTTTAATTTCTCTATCATCCAATTTGTGTTTTAAATCAACTGTAAAATAAACCTTTTCTTCTTTCAAATAACAGTTAAAGAGAAACTGACGGCCGATCCAGACAGTGAAATAGCAACAACAAGCTTAAGAGTTTCTCTTCTTTGTCCAGTAAGTTGTTGGCTTTTTTTTTTTTTAATTCCCTCAAAACAGATTCTGATCAAAATGTGGCTGTTCTGGGACCTGCATTTGGTAGAGCTTAGCTTGTGTTTACCCGCGTGTTAACTTTGTGGGGATAGGATCCAATGCTGAAGTTACCTGTCACCGTGCTTAAGCATGTGATATACCCCTGAGAAAATGAGTGTTCCATTAATGTGAAAACACTATTCAAAATTAGATGTGAGCATACGTTTAAATCTGTCACCAGGTCACCTGAATGTGCAGTTTGGGTCCTTGATTGTGGTAAAACCACTCTCAGTGGTAAGGTAGGTGAATTTGACTATTCAAAATAGCTCTTCAGCCAGTGTCTGCAGTCGAAGAATTGAGCATCTCTTAACTGATTATACGCATGTGTACACTTTGAGTATTTAATATTCTTAGATTAAAAATGAAGCAGTGTCCTAGGGGTTGTTCAAACCAAATTCATTCCAAATTTGAGGTGGGACAATACAGTTCCAATGAATGTGGAAGTGGCAGAGTTGTACTTGACCTACTAATTGGTTTTTAACCAAGCAGCTGCGGAGATAAGCGGTAGTTTATACCTGGGTCTGTGTTACGGTTGGTGAACTGCACAATGTTAATATTACGTACGCCTTTTGTAATCTGTGGGATTTAGTGCTCTTGTTTCAAGTACCACGCACCTTCAGAATACTTGCTCTCTGTATTGATTGACCCCGTATCCTTATTGTAGTCTAACTTTTTAACCTCTTTTCAAGATAAAGGATACATCTGTTTCCTGGTTTGGCTCAATCTGCTCAAGCTTGACACAAAATTTTCAGTTTTGAAATCTAAAGAAGAAAACTGACTTTAATCTTGCAAAACCAAAGAAGCTTATTTCTCAAGTTATTAAATACGTTCTTAAACTCTACCACCCTAAAGATAAACTTTTAGATACATAAGCTTTGCCTCGTAAAAAGCACAGTTGACATTGTGGTAACGTTTTATGTATGTATTGGGTTATTGTAAATCTTTAAATGTGGTATTTTCATGATCTTCAATCTTAAGACTTTCTCCATATCAACATTGATGCTAACTAAATAAGAATATATTTATAATGAAGATAAAACTCATCTGTACGAAAGATACAGGGATTGCATTTACAAAAGAAAATCCTGATCTGTAACCTTAGAACCTCATAACCTATAATCTTATAAACCTAGGAACTTGCATGTCACATCGAAACTGCTGCAGATCTGGAACGCTGAAGTATTTCAGGTCTGCACCTGGCAGCTTGTTTTGCTGAGTTGTTACAGCTGAATTTTTGTTGTGCTCTTAGTACGTTGTTATTCTAGAAAGCACAGTGATAGTGCTGTTGGTTTCTTTGCCGTTCTTTAGGCACAGCATTCTTGCCACTCAAAATTAGTTTCCAATACAGACAAAAATAGTAACCCCGTAGTAGGAATTAAATGGCTGTAAGAGTTTAGAAGTGCCTGGGTGTTAATTCATTATCTTAAATTAATTTTCATGTGTCTTCTGGAATTACAGATTTTTACTTCAGTCTGTTTGATTTGCCAGAAGTGCCGCTTCAGGCAGTTACGTTGCTTTATAGATCATTCCATGGGAGTTTTCTACTGTTTGTCCTGATTGCCTCCATTACTGATAAAAGTTCTTCTGCAGTGCTTTTAGATGCCTTTTTTTTTTTTTTTTTTTTTTTTTTTTTTTTTTTTTTGCAAGGCAGGTTAAGCAAATGCATTAAGAGCCACAAAAGCTTTTGGGAGTCCCTTTGCATTTACGTGATTAAAAGAACCTATTTTGCTTTCTCAGAGTTCTGCCTGGCGTAAAACCAAAACAGCAATCAGACGTTAGGGTGTAGCTCTTCAGAAGTCCTACCTTTGTCAGTATTTCCTCTTTAAAATTTACTACTTTCCTGACAAACGTACAAAATAGTCTGTACCAGATTCTTTTGAGCATATTTGTCTCTGTGTTGTTTAATAATGTCTGCAAAACATGCACCCTTGATTCCCCCCCCCCCAGTATGTTCCTCATTCAGTGCTGATTTCACTGTAGCTCTTGGAATGATCCATCATTGCAAAGGCTCGTTGGGTCAGAGCCTGCACCTTTCAACCTGTCCTATGAATAGAAAGGTTATTAGTGTGATTCAGACTCTCTTCGGGTCTGAATGTCATTTTATTATAGCCTCCATATTTTTATTTGCTAATTTGTAAGCGTTTGGCTCAGGGAGAATTTTTTTGTGAATATTTTGTGCTTACTTTCTAATGCTTGAATGGGCAGTGTATGCTTTGAAAACACATATTGAAAATGCTGATTTGGTTTCCAACAGCAGCACCAAAAATTAAAGAATGATGCATCTTGTGCTCTGTTAGTGCTGTTCTCCCATCTCAAATTTTATGGGTGTGATTCTCCTGTGTGTATACTTCAATAAAATAAATGGAATTGCATTTCTGGATGAGGGTGGCAGGTTTAGACTTTATAACCTTTATTTTGCCCTCACAGAAGTGCAGAGCGAGGCAGCTTCCTCTGAATTTGTTTTGGATTGCTGCTGAGCTTTTTTTAGCACAGAGGCCTGCTCTCCCTCCGAGACCGTGGAGTACGGAGAAAAAGCTGTCCTTAACTATTGGCTGAATCTATCCAAGCTACAGCAGGCAAATGGGCTGGACTGACTCTGTATTTCAGGAAGACACTTGAACTCGTGTTCTTTTTTTTTTTTTTTTCTCCCCTTGAAATAAAAATAAATAAATCCATGGGCTCTGCAGCCGGACCACGTATTTAACTGAACAAAAATTCCAAATGCAGCATTTTAACTGTAGGTTTTGCAGCTTTGTTTACAAATCCTTAACTCCTGTTTTGGGTGCATTTTTTAGCATTAAAAGATAGCAATGGTTTGTGTAAAAGAAATGAATGCAGTGTTTCTCTGGCAGGCAGGAATCAAAACAGTAACAGTGTTGAGAAACAGTTTTTCAAAAGTTGGGATGCATCCTCGTCTTTTATGACCTTTTTGTTTTGTCAGTTCTGCCACAGCTTGGCCAGTATAGCAGAGCTGATCCAGGAGGTTCAATGCCAAAAATGGGAAAGGAGACATCAACTTGTTAACACTGAGTACGCCGATTCTATCTGCATGCGTATGGCTTTGGTTAAATCCAACCGCCGCTTAGAAATGAGAGCTACAGGTTTTTATACCAAAAGCTTGTGAAAATGTTTCTGGTTTAAATCTGCTTTTTTACTCAGAGACAGGTATTTATGTCCTTCCTGCAGCATGTGTCTCCCCCCTTCCTTACTTTTATTTTGCATCACAGAGAAGCAGCCAGGTTTTACCTCCAGTACTCTTACTCGTGATCCTCGCTAAGCTAGGAGACTGTTATTGTGCCCAAAAGACAAATGAGCCAGTGACCTACCATCTGGGAGATAAGAATTCATAACAGACATGGATCAGGGGGCCTTGCTTTGTTGGGGGTTGATTATGTGATAGAAATAATGTGCTTGGTCATGGATTTTGGGGGGGGCGGGGGGGATGCCAAACACATGGCACATAGAGCACCTCCTGCTGTCTGAGCTCTCCACCACCATTGCTGCAGGCTCCCCAGGGACCTCTCTGCTCCCCTCCCATCTGGTGGTGAGTTTTGTGCCGGTGACCAAGAGCCAGAGGGAAGAAAAATTAGGAAGAGCTGCAATCTAGCTGAATTTGCTGGGGATGGGGTGGAGGGATTTCTGCTTATGGGGATGCAAAAAAAAAAGAAAGGGGGGGGAGGGGGGGGCAAAAAAGCATCATGGAGGAAGTAGTGGACTGTGAGTAGAGCCTTTGTTCTTGATATTGTTTTTAGTTTTCTGATACTCTGAGATTGAGTGCCATCCTGTGGCACCCGTCTTGTATTGCTCAGAATCAGTATGCATGACCACAGTGCTTGCTTAAGCCGTACTAAAAACAGTTCCTCCTACTATCCGCTGCTAGAACTGGGTGAAGGCGTTCAAATGAAGTCATTGTGTATATTTTAGTCAAATATGTACAACTTCAAAATACTCAGTATAAATACTTCTTAATAGGTAATTGTTTTGTTGTTTTTTAATGTGGGGAAAAGTCTTGC